TATTGAGTCTCGATAAATTGATCATCCAATCATATTAAAAATTGAATTGACCAATCAGACAAATGTCTGGGATGCTGGGCCGAGCCTACTATTCCCATACCTAAATGAGGTAGAAATGAGCGGAGAGAACGTTTTAAAAGGACAGTATATTTACGTTGCGATTGTTTCGTCGCTTTATTTCTTACACATCGTAATAACAATGTTATTGTGTTTTTTCTTTTCAGACCTTGCAAACATGAGCGAATTATATGCGAAAATTTACAATTTTATAGTAACAGCTGAAGAAGAAAATATAAACGCCTCCACTGTCATCTACCAAGCGTTGAATGAAGAACCATGGATTTCAAAGGAAGAAGTAAGGGGGCTGGTTCACCGAGCAATTTCATCAGCATTGAATCTATATGCTCAAGGCTCCACTCGACAACAAAAACTTTCGCAAATACCTCTACAAGTAGGTTTTATAATGTGATCTAATAATTGTTTGCCTCATTGACTGAATGATGAGTGTCGCAGATTTGGTTCGATCCGAATATCAAACATATCAGTTTAGTCATTCCTATTTAGCCCGTGTACGGGATTCAATCCTGGGAACATGAGGAGGGTGGTTATACTGTATTACTATGTTCTGTTTATATGTGGTGGAAGCAGACCACACATAAGTTAGTGTCAGCGTGTGGGCCCCACGAGGGCATTAGCTTTGTCTGTGACATACTGACAGCGCACACGTTAACTGGGATGGTGTATGGTGTTAGATCTGGACTTTTGTCAACATAGTAGTTCTAACTAAAACTTTATCAGACTGTATCCATATACCCGTGTATTAGTTTGAGGTTGCATATGAAGGGGTCTATGGCTTACTCAATATTGGAGCACTAAAAGTAAGCAAAGAAAAACCTATCACTTTGGAACAAATCGACGCTAATCTCCAAAAGTTGATGTTGAAACTGATGGTAAGTATTGTTAAATATTTTAACTGTCTTGGTTTTTGATATAATATTACCAATATTTCATCTAGAGAGATTCGTCAGCACTTGCACAAGAGTTAGCTCTAGGTCTAAGGAAAGTGACAGCTTCCAGTCTCAGATGGAGCGATCTACTCACCAACCAGATAATTGATGATAGTTCCGATCTAGTGAAGGGTCTCTCCTCTCCAATGAAAAAAAAATTCTTGAAGCCCGCATGGCAAATGGTACCCCCAAATTTACCAATAATTCGAGAGATGTGTAGAGAATTTGTGACAGGCTTTGATCGACACCAGACAGAAGATATACCGAGATTATTGAAACATGATGTAAGTTGGAAAGAATCGAAATTCTCAAAGAAGTTACGAAAGAAATTCTCAACACAGTAAAAGATATCTGGAACAACCCTGCTTTTGGACCAAATTTTGTTGATTCATTGAACGAAGGTACCTATGTATCAAATGTGGTGGTACCGTTGATTCGCGCAACATTGAAAAACCTCCCTTTTGGAAAGTCCTCGTTTATTAGCACGTAAGTGTATGAGTTATCAATGCATGCTTTAAAGACTACGACTGCAAATCCATTTTTCTTTTTTAGCTACGAATGTCAAAGTATTGCTAGTAAGGATAGAAGGGGTGTAGGCAAAACGGGCAGACGACCAGATATAATGTTTGAAGTTCATCGTGAGGGGAAAGTTTATGAACTTTTATATGGTGAATGTTCACGTATATTCTGCACCCCGCAAAAAGAACTAGATGACAAAGTAAAATTATGGCGGGAGGTGAACGATGGATTATACTGGGTTCGTAAAGGTTGTAAACCGGAGAAAGAGCAGTTCGGAATTGTTGGAATTCAGATCGCAGGTTATAAATTTTATATTTGTCCTTTACTTTCGTACAAGTTGATATTTTTTAATGATACAAAACTTTCATAGGGCGTAAATTACACCTGAGTGTTATTACAAGAGGTGTAGACGAAATTCATTGTCGTTACAATTTACACTCAGCTGAAATCCCAGTGAATCCAATGGGGGATTACGATTTAACGAATTTTATAAAGACTTTGTTGACTCTACGGGTTTGTTATTCAATTAATTTGATTCTACTTTGTAGTTAAAATTCTAACGCTATTTTGGTTTTATAGAATATAATTATCATCAACATGTCTTTATTATTCCACGCACCCACCTCTATATCACATAGACAGGAAGATAGTTCGACAGTATCATCACCTCTACATGACAATTAGATTTTCATTGTCCACACTATAAGTATTTTTCGATGTATTAATAAAGCTGGCCCTGGTGATTGAATTATTGTATAATTTTGTGTGATATATGTGATTAAAATTTTCAGTAACACTTTTTATTGTATAATATTTTCAGTAATAACAAATATATATAATACGTAACTATGAAGTATCATATTTGAATGCATCTAGCCATTATAAATATGTAAAGCAACTGAAAATCAGTTGGATGCGGATTAAACCTTAGTGGCAAAATTAGATGCGGGTAATTATTTTATTATTTGATCAAAGATATTGCATAATATATCTCACCATGAAAGTAGAGATAGCCAAAGCTAAAGTTTGAAATCAAGAGGCTGATTGCCGTTGTGAACCTGATAAAATTCCAAAGAAATTTAGAGGATAAATCTAGGCGAATAAAAAAGCACTGATAAAAAGAACATTACCCCCATTAAATGACATAATGATGATAATTTCTATCCAGATCGATGGCTTGTTTTTGTGTTGTTAATCCTCCAAATCGTTGACCATTCATCCTCATTTCATAGGAATTAGCCCATGTCACAAAGTAACTCGAGCTTCCGTTAATCAGAAAAGATGGTAGAACATTTCCTTGAACGTCTGTAAGGGTGAACCCGTTTGGAGCTTGGGTACCATTGCCGTTGTTGTCTGTAAAGTACAGCCTAGCTATTCCTCCAGCTTGTGCTTGTATTCTTAGTTCGGTGTTCGGACCCATCACAACAACATAAATCTTATTATTCAAGTATGAAAGCAAACCTCTGAACCCCATATCTTTGTTTAAACCTGCCATTATTAGGTATATGATGATTATTTTTTTGCAAGCCAAATAATGCTTTGCAATAGCGATAGTGCTTACCTTGTTAAGTAAGGCGATAAAAATAAAGAAAAATTTAGCCATTACAATGCGTCTATACATAATTTACGTTAATTGTGATGTCATCGAGCATAAACACACGTACTGATATCAGGGCAGTAATTCGTAATGTAATCATACCGGACAATGTATCCGGGTATTTGGCAAATTACGGTAGCTATGAAAATAAAATACCTTCTGCCATTTTTTGGTATACGTTGTTGATGAATCAAATACAAGCACCTGAGAAAAAAAAAGAATCAAATACAAGCAGAGAAAATCCATGTATTTATATAGTGTTTTCGTAGTACATACTATTGTCATGTAGCATCCCAGACATTTGTCTGATTGGTCAATTCAATTTTTAATATGATTGGATGATCAATTTATCGAGACTCAATA